ACCTTAGATAAGTCTTACATATTTTCTTGGATAGATGAAAAATTTTTCCTTACATCTTTATATTCTTGTTACTTCTGGAAAAATATTTTCTAAAAACTTAGATGTTTGAAAGATGAAAAACTTTCAGTCATCTGTAGATTTTTAACATCTGTAGAGTATTTCCTGCTTCATTCATTGTGGATGGTTTTTAAATGACACTGACTTTCACATCAAACATCAAGGAGTCAACACACAGTATTGCTTCATTTGAAAGACATCCATTTATCTATACCAGGCTTACTCTTAAATAATTTCCTGTATTCAGACTACTGCCAGTCAGCCCTTTATGTGGCCTTGAGAATTTTTTTCAAAAGATATTATTTTTAAAAAGTATTTTTGTTGCCTTTGGAATCCCATTCATGGTGCTTGTAAAAGTTGGTTTGATAACTACTTTCTATCTTTCCAAAGTTTATCATAAATGGTGATCCTTTTCATTCTTTTTTAAAGGACTTTCAGATTTTGCAAAACATTTTTTTCTGTGCAGTTTTATTTGTATGATAGGATTTTCCCCAAGCATGCTACCTGATAACTAAAACAGGATTAGTATGTACTCGGTAAGTGAATACATGCACACTAGTTTTAAAAAGTATCTATGTTTTGAAAACTTGTTTGCCAGCAGCTTATCACTGAATAACATCTAGAATGTATTTAGGTTACAAACATTCCTAATTTTGAATCACCATCTGACTGTGTAGTTCTCTTTTCAACTTGGTCCTTTTTCTCTTTTCTTCTTCTTCCTCTTCTTCCTCCTCCTTCTCTTCCTTCCCCTTTTTTCTTTTTTTTCTTTTCCTCCTCTTCCTCCTCCTCTTTTTTCTTTTTCTTCTCCTCCTCTTCTTCTTTCTCCTTTTTCTTTTTCCCTTACTCCTCTTCCTCCTCCTTCTTGTTCTTCTCTTTTCAAAAATAAGTTTTTTAACTGCAATAGAACTGTATCACTTTCCACCCTTCCTTTCCATTTAGTCTCTCCCAGCTCAGCTAACCTTCCTTGAATCCTTTCCATATTCTGCTTTTTCTCTGAATCATTATTGCATTCACATATATGTGTACATGCATATATACTACACATACACACATACACTTCTGAGTCCATATTTGTTGCTTGTGTGTAAATGATTTCAAGGCTGATCGTTCTTCATTGGACAAATCAATAAGGGGCTCATCCCTGGTAGAGACTATTTTTCCTTCTTCCATCAGTTATTAGTGGTCTATGGTTCTTTGTCTATGGATGGGACCCCACAACATTTTCCTCCTTTCATGTTAACATGTCCATTGATACTGAAATTGTTCTGATTTTGGCAAGAAATGCATTAAAGTACAGTAAGTGGCACTTAAATGTTGGTGGCAGCCAAAAGCACTCTTGCAGGACCTAAGTCCCGCTCAACAGGAGGGAAATTATGCCTGGTCCTGGAAACCTAGCCTGTGTCCTAGGATAAGGAGTCCATGGACCTTAAGAAAACCCATTGCCACTATTTTTTTAGGCCAGCATAATTATTTGCTACATTCTAAATATTATCCTTGTACACACAGATAAGTGTCGCTATCACCCCTCATCAAAGCAACATCTTTTTACAGCAAATGATAGAGACCCAACTAGACACAACACAGATATTAATAGTTTTTAATAGTTGAGGTCAGCACAGCCTCAACAGATACATTTACATCACAGCTCCTGCACCTACAGCTCGGGAAACATTGCAGAAGAGGAAGAAGGAAGATTGTAAGAGCCAGAATACAAGGAAGTCTGCTATGAAGCAATCTCTCCTAGAAATGACCACACAAACTTGGTCCTTTCCAATTCCCACTTTTTATAAAGCTCTTGAATTTAATGGCATTGTGTTGAATTACTTAATGATTTTCAAACAAATATTTCCTATGTTACTTTCTCATCATATCCTTATCCCCATGTGAGTTTAATAATCTATATATTCTTTTTTTCCCACTGGGTTTTCTTTTTTCTTTTTTTGTTTTTTTGAGACAGGTTTCTCTGTGTAGCTTTGCTCCTTTCCTGGAACTCACTCTGTAGCCCAGGCAAAGACAGATCCACCTGGCTCTGCCTCCCAAGTACTGGGATTAAAGGTGTGCACCACCACTGCCTGGATTCCCCTGTTTTTTCAAGACAAAGTTTCTCTATGTAACAGCCTTGGCTGTCCTGGAACTCACTATGTAGACCAGGCTGGCCTTGAACTCACAGAGATCTGCCTGCCTCTGCCTCCTTGGTGCTGGGATTAAAGGTCTATGCTACTACTGCCTGGCCTGAGGCTGTGCTTCAAGCTCTGTAACAATAGCAGTTTACATCTTTTAGTTCACCAGACATATTTTACTGGTGTCATTTGTTAGTGTATACACAATTACTATCTAAAACATGTAGTCTTTGCTTTCTTAGTTTTTCTAGTTGACTGGTCCTATGTATAGAATGATTTATCACTTTTTAATTATTTGATTGTAGAATTTTTAAATGAACTTCATGCTGATTTGATTTCATGCTTCCATTGGCCTTTTTAGGATCCATGTGATGCCGTCTCACCCTCCTCTTTTCTGTACACTTTGCTTATCTTTTTTTTTTCTTTTTTCTTTTTGGTTTTTCAAGATAGGGTTGCTCTGTGTAGCTTTGCGCCTTTCCTGGCTCTCGCTCTGTAGATCAGGCTGGCCTCGAACTCACAGAGATCTGCCTGCCTCTGCCTCCCAAGTGCTGGGATTAAAGGCATGTGCCACCACCACCTGGCTACACTTTGTTTATCTTTAGGACACTATCTCTAAATTGCTGAGTCTAGCTAAGCCAGTGCCCACTTGATATTCATGTCAAACAATTTACTCTACTCATTTTGTCAAGTCCTTAGCACTGGCACATACATTTATATAATATATCTTGTTGTGTTGATAGTTTCTTATTAATATTTGTCTTTTGTTGAACTGTAATACATGCCTATTAGGTAGAAATGACACTTTGCACCTCCCAGTGGGGTGTGAAATGAATAAGCAATATCCATTCTTCAAAGGCTTTTACAGTTTATTGAGCAAGCTACTTTGGAAATAACCTCATTACCCAAACTGGTGGTAATTAAAGGTAGAATAAATAATGTACTAACAAAATAGAAGAGGAAAAATATTTCTAAATCATTTCATAGGAAAGATGGAACTTGAATTTTAAGTGTGTGCAGGATTGGGTGAGAGAAAAACCGACACCGAGTAGAAGCCTATAACAGGAGAGTCACTGACGCATGGGGGACGGAGCACACCGGTGGAGGGTCTCTTACAGAAAGGACACAGCTAGGTGTACATTTTAGAAAATGTGCTGGGTTAGGGCATCATGGATCCTGAATACTTAGAGTCTGATCTTTTGGTAGGATGGAGAGAAAAAAAAGATTGTGCTCAGAGATGTGTGCTTTATTACTAATAAGAATAAATGGCAACCATTTTCTGCTCAGGCTGTATAGTGCACTGAACCGAGTCTTTTGTGTTCAACCAGTACAATAGTGTTGAATAGTGAGATGGTATTCCCACTTTATGGAAGAGATGTCTGTAACTCTGAAAGTGAGATTAACCGGGCAATGTTGCAAGCATGGGTTAGGGCTGATATTAAAACTCTTTGGAGAAGACTCAATATTGCTGACTTAACAGGCAAGTTTCTCTTCTCCTTCAATTTAAGTGCCCTAAAATTTAGTCCAAAGATATAAAATTTAATTCATGATCATGCTGGCAAGTTACACCAGAGAACTATGAGTGATACTTGATATGTAAAAGGCATAGTTCAAACCTTCTTGCAAATAAATGAAAGAAAGAAAGAAACTATGATGTGTACATTTTCAGTGGGATGGCTTACAACTAAAAATGAATGCTTAGATGGTGCCCAGGTCTGGAGATGTACAACACCAAGGAAGGAGTCTCAGAGTCAGAACTAGAAGGACTAAGGAATTCTGATAGAAAAAGCCAAGAGTCAAGGGTTCATGCCTCCCACCATTGCTGTGAGTCAGAAATAACAGATGCAGTACTAAAGAATGTTCTTGAGGCAGCGAGAGCAGGTAGAGTCCTAGGAACACAGAGATCCTCATGAATGATGGGATGTACTCAGTCAATAATAACCCTACACACCCACTAATTAAAACATCGTAGGAGCGTGGTTAACTCCTGTTCCTAATCGGGACATCTGAAAAAAACCATTCTTCACAGAGAATCTCACACAAGGAAGTCCCTAATAAAGGGATAAGCCCACAGACAAAAATTAGCCAACATTTGATGGTAATAACCCTGTCAGAAAGGAACTAAGCTCAGTAGAATTTTCTTTAAGTAACCTCTACTTTTTTTTTTTTTTTTGTGTGTGTGTGTGTTTTAAACTTGTCTTCTGGTTAACATTTTCTATCACCTACCATTTTCTGTTCCCAACACAATAGACAATTCCCCTGAGTGCCCATTATCCTTCATATTAACTGTATTGAGCTTCTAAACATATTTTCATCTGTCTACATCACTATGATCTTTCATTTGTTTCATTTGAATTCTCATGCTTGTGCCATTGCACATGGGACCCCCGGAATCAGAGACTGAAGAACTCCAAGGAGTTTTAGAACATCAAGGCTCAGATTGATTCTTGCTTTTGAAAGCACTTAGAACAGCAACTTTTTAAATAGTTTCCAAGCACTAACTATAGCAAGCTATGGGAAGGCAGTGTATTTCAGTATGTGTTACTATTTCAGCATATTCCCCATGGGTTTTACACATATACTTGTGAAGAATAAATACCCTCAGTGACTAATCTTGTTTTAATTAACACCAAGGAAAATAACGATGGTTGGCATGACAAACTATTTTCAGGTTTTCCTTTTTTAACTATGTCAGTTGCCACTTAGGAGGCGGCAAGCAGAGCCGCTTACACTTGTCATCTGGCACATCCCCCCCACCCCCGCCTGCTCCCCCCATACGAATGAAACAGGCATCTTCTTCAAAGATGGCATATACATCATACTCACATTTTGTAGCCATTAGACTTTCCAAAGATTGGGCCCATCCTAAAACCTCTTCTAAAGTAAGGCTTTGGAAAGAAAAAAAAAAAGCAGTGATTAGGCTCAATTACTATCAATGTTTTGCTGAACTAAATAGATATATACAATCTTGAGAATAATAGCAAAATATAATTACACTGCTTATTGTCCTTTATGTTCTAGTCTTCACTGAATTTTTAAACTCTAAAAAATATAAGAGGTATATACTAGAAAATATAAAATAAATATTGAAGATAACAACAATAGTTGTATAATCTCATTTCCAGTTTTCTATTAGAAGTGTGGTAGATTTAGCCCTTGTTATGTATGTTTGTGTTTTTAACTAAGAAATTATATTTTGCATACATAGTTTCCATGTGTATGCTCTCCTTATACACATTTTATATGTGATTACTGTGGAGTTACTCCTTAACTTATAAATTAATCATCTGTAGATCATCTATATAGTATAATATTCTACAAGCGGCCTTCTGGAGCTTTCATAGTCTAAAAAATTTTGAGTATTTTTCTATTTCACCATTAAAACTACATGCAGTCAAGCTTGCCCGCCCATGTAGCTGTGGTAATTTTGTAGATTAGTAGAAACAAACTGAAAACAGATGAAAGGCACACACTTTGAAAGTTCCACGCACAGACTCGCACATTGCCTCTACAGGACTGTCTCGTGTTTTTCTGCCACTGTGACACATGCACCCACTTACTAATCAATGCCAGTTTACCTTCAAAGCTTATGCTCACATTCTTATGTAATGTCTTGTCTATTACGTTTACACTTTCTTATTTAATAGGTGTGTATTTATATATTGAACTTTGAAGGCTTTCACACCAATGAAGGTAGAATATGTCAAGTTGCATTTGCCTTAAACATAATTAACAAAGGCACATTTGGTAGATGTCCGTGAAAGGTGCTGGCTTAAAGGTTCCATTTCTGTTTCTCTTGATGAGCTTCATGAGGTGACTGATAAGTGATCCTACTTTCTCATGACAAAGAACTTTATGTCTCTGTATCAAAGTCACCAATGTGTCCATTGCTACTCAGCTTCTGCCTTGCATGCTTCTTCCTGCCTTTAGCACCGGTATAATCTAAGAAAGCTGAAGAAGAAAGCGAGACCTGCTCCTTGTTGTTTCTGTGGAATCAGCCTGAGTGTTAATTCTTCAGGAGTGACCATCATCAGTAACTGGTTATGAATGTAATGAAAGATTTAAAAAGTGAAATAGTGCACAACGTAGAGCAATATTAGTCCTGTAACAGCTCTGATGGTCCTGTCAGCTCCATGTAGACTTTCCCAGCAGCTTTGAGGTGCATTGTGTTCAGTGCACTCAAAAACGTTTCCATGAAATCTATTTCTGACTCACTGTCCTTTTCCCTCACTGGAACTTCAGAAAGAATAAGCTGAAATAATGTTTTCAGTCTATTGAAGTAGGACGTGTAAGGCAGGTTTCTTGCATACTTTTCTATCTCACTGATTCCCATTGTAGAGGAAAGACTGAAATCTCCAGTGAGGGGAGACAATGTCACTGTGTTGGGAAATTGTTACCAAGAGAATGCCTTTGCCTGCAAGATTTATGAGACTGACAGATACAGACCATGGTTGGAGATATTGGGTTATTTGAACTTCATTTCTGCTTTTGCTTATATTCTCTCTCAGAGTATTCATGTTGGCCCATGACTATGAAGATGGTATACTCAGAGTTATGTGAAGATTATTTTTAAGCACCTTTGCCCCTAGATCAGCCTGAGTTTCCTGGCCTGCATTCTTCTTTTTGGTATCACTTTCTTTTTTTCTGGACAGGTAGGTGGCAAAAAGCAATTAGACATGAAGACATTTTGAAGCCCATGGCATTGATGCTTAGAGTCTGAGGGTTGGGGGATCCAATCCCAATGTTGGACTTAATACATCTCCACACCTTAGTTTCGTTATTATCTCTCTATGTGACAAAGTTAAAATGAATGCAAAGCTCCTATCAAATGACCTCAAACAGCCTTCAATGAATATGAATTCTCTTTTCCCGAGTTCCTCCTTTCTATGGAGGATATACAAGACAGACAACAGAAAATCCAAGTTCTGATTGTGATAGGTCATAGGGATCATCAGTAAAAGAAAGCTGGTCCCAGTCAGTCTATTATATCTTTGTCCATGGGTGCACCTCCATAGTTCACAAAGTTGAACTAGTCACTAGAATACTGAGCGTTGGGTTTTGCCACCCATCACTACGGCTAGCTTTCTTCACCAAGCAGTAGCTTGTGACCTTTTGAGACCTTCTCTACTTCAGTGGGAGGTCAGGCTGGTCAAGAGCTCTGACCTCAAAGGATGTGTTCTGAATTGAGGTCTCTACTTGACCTAGGTTAGGCATGTATGGTTAATCTAACAGGGGTCTTCAATCTGTAAATTCTTTGTGATAAATCTAATTGTTTTGTTATTCTTTCAGACATACTTTCTATTTTAAACTATTTGCAGATCTCAGAAAAAGGCTGGATCTTTATAATATAACTTATCCCAGTGCTTGGGAGGCTTAGGCAGTATGATCACAAATTTGGGGGCGGCCTGGCCTGCATAGCCAGACCCTGTAAAAAGCAAGGAAGCAGCACATTTCCCTGCATTAAAAAAAAACCTGGAAGCTTGGTAGGCTTCCATTCTTATAAACCCCATGAAGAAATGAAGGTGTCTGGCATCTCTTAAGAAGGTGTTAGTTGTGAAATATATTGGATTAAAAATTCCTTTAATATAAACAGCACTAAACTGTTCTTAAAAAGAATGTTTGTAATAGTCTCTAAAACATCAAAGTTGCTGAATTCTTAAGTGTACACCATGAATAATGGAAATGAATTTTAGTGTGTACATGACTGCTCCTCTGCTGGAGTTTCTCAGGTGTAAATATAAATTTTTACTTTCTCAGCAAAATATATTTAGAACACAGTTAAATATGTATGTACCTATTTATCATGTGATTAAAAATGCTTTAAAATGGTTATGATATTCAAAAGCTACTTACTTTGAGGGGAGCCTCTTAGATTCAGCTCTGCATAGCTTACAAATCCAACAGATGTGCCTGCTCATTTTTCTAAAAACAAAAGCGTATAGGTATATAATTTAGTCATGTAAAATGACTGCGTGGTGAGTCAATTTTCAAAGAACATATAAAATTATAAATTTCCAAAAAAGGATGAATTCTTAAAGTTAACAGAAGTCACTGTGGGTCACGAAGGAAGAAGGAATACAATGACTCACCTCATACATATTTCATAAGAATATAGGTGATTAGATTTCTCTGTGACTTTGGAATTCCTCTTACCCACCAATTCATTAATAATAGGGTTTTTTTTTTTTTAAAAGAAAGCTCTCTGAAAGATGTATTTTAATTAGAACCCAATGACAACGATTTCCTCAATTTCTAAGGATTCCTTTTTGGGACAATTCTTATTTTTAGAATGCTCCCTAAATATATGAAGGAAAAATTTGCCTCTTTGTAATTAGTCAAATAAAATAGCATAAACAGCCAAATAAAAACTCCTTAAGAATGACTTCTGAGAAGAGTAGTTTTTACATAAACTTAGGCATTTTGGACATTGTAACTTTGAAATTCTGGCAGAGTTGACTCAGTCTAGGCTGAGTGTATATATAGCAACACATGTCACGGTTGGTTTTTAACTCGGGACTTTGAGAAAAAAAAAACCACTAAAAACATGCTAGGGATAATTGAATACATGTTTTATACAGAATCTTGAAATCGTTTGGTAGCTATACATAGGTAGTTATGTGAAGTGAATCGCTGAGGATCAGTAGTGAGCTTTTATGACTTTATCAACTCATTCCAAGTGTCATCCGAGCTCCTGTCCTCTGCCAAGCTCAGTGCCTGTGAGTGATCTCCAGAGACCCCATTTTTCTCTTCCTATCTTTCTGGGCAAGTCATGATAAAACATACTGTGGGATTTTTGTTAGAGGGGCTGTGTATATCTGCAGGAGGAGAACTGAGTCAGACTTGAGAATGGTCAGTGAAGCCATACCAGTAACATACCCTCTGAGCGGGAATCAATGGGATATGCTGAGAAGTGTTGAATGGAGGAGGAATTGCTTAGGCAAAGGTTAGGAAGTAATGGTTAGTTGAAGAAAAGAACTGGGTTGTCTAGGATGGAAAAGAGAGAGATCTTGGAAGAAAAGGTTAGAGAGTTAAGATTGGCCCCCAAATTATCTTTGAATGTAGCTTTAGAGAGAAAGAATGGAAACAATTTTACCTGAGAAATTTGCCTTGAAAATAAAGTTGGGTATTTTCATAAAGACGTAGGAAAAGTATAAAAATATAATGAGATGTCTTGGGACAGAGTCTGAACTGAAAAGACAGCCTAAGATGACGGTCACATACATATACATCTCAGTAAGACTGTGAAAAAGGAGCCCACTAGACAAAAATCAGAATGATACTGCATCATAAGCACCCAAGAACATGCTTATTATTGATGAACTCATAATTCGTGGTTGAGTTTCAGAAAAAGATATTCATTGTATACTAACATTTAGAGATCATTTAAAAGCCAAAACATTGTATTGTAAAAAGACAGTTTTAAACAATCAAGATTTGGAAGTGTAAAAAAAATTTTTTAAAAAAATGAATGAGTAATCATTTAGGTGTTAAAGCCAGAGAGAGAGTAAGAGAGCAAAGGATTTAAAGATGCTGTTATGCTTGTTAACAGGAGTGCTATTAATGAACAGAGCAGGCAGCAAAAATGTGGAGGAGGTAACAGAATAGAGTGTTTGTCCCCGCACCCCATGTATTGTGGAAGCTGCTGAAGATTGACCCAGTAGAGATGCAGAGGAAGGGCTCTGCTACTTGGCCATTCTAGCTTGCATATTTGTAGTGTGTGCCAGTGAACTCTTCAGTATGACTGTGAATCATGTAAAAGATGTCCATGGGTAGAGGTAGAAGACTTCGGAGAAGTGGAAGCTAAATAGATGCACACGAGGGAGCAAATGGGAGGGAGGGAAGTTAACCGGTTAGCTAAGCCTCTTTGGATTGTAGATACAGCAACGTAAGTAGAAAGGAACGTTTATTATGGGGCTATGTGTGTATGTGGCTAGATTCTAGATGACCTCAAATTCAGGAGTGAACCATTGCATTCTAAATTGTTGGTAATAGTCCTGAAGTTTTAAAATCTCAAAGTGGTGAAAAAAGAAGTTTTGTTTTTTTTTTTGAAAGATGAACCTGACTAAAGATGATTAATAATGAAATATTTGAGGCTATGGAAAGTGTGGCATCGGCTGGTTTATTTATAATTATCTTGTGTATAATTGGGCCCTGAACTCTATTGGTGAAGCCAAATTTCGGTACTCAACGGCTCTTGCTTATTCTTGAACATCCTCACTGTCAATGTAACTGTTCATCCTTGTCTCCTACAAGGACTCACTATTTCTTCCTGAACTACCTTTTGTTTCATTGTCTGTCCACTTCATCTACTAGAGCCGTGCGTATCCATTTTCAAATTTTTATCATCTCTGTAACTCTGTGTCTTTTATAGATTCTATAGCTATGATACATAGCTTAGTAGCTATAATGGGATCAGACAAAACCACATCGGTCAGGCTGCAACCCTCACTGAGGTCACATGCACACTAAAGGCACTTTGTGCTAGTGCTCAGGGGTTTCCCAGAGCTCCCGGGAGCAGTCAGAGTATATTCAGATAGCTCAGGGTTCTGAAACTAGAATAGCACACACTTTAGTTGAGGCTTTTATTAGCTGTGTGACCTTGGGTGTGATAATTTACCTCTCAGATGATCTATTTCCTTTTTCTCTGAAACGGAACAATGAAGATTAGAAAAATAGATGCATGCAAAGCATGTTTCTGTTCCAATTTGTCTGACCTTCAGCTTCTTGTACTCTGACACTCAGGAAGTATTTCTCAAGCCCCTTTGTAGGAAGAAGTACACATCCTACCAGAGTATATTCCATCTTTTTTTTTTTAAAATTTCAACTCAGATGACCACCTTTCCTTATTAATGTTGCTCATTCTTTTACATGTAAATATACTCTCTGTAAATTTTGTTTCTTTTCATTTTTTTTAGCATTGCTATCTCATTTCTGGTTATTTGTTTTTAGCAATTAGGTTAAAGATTGAGTTAGCTGAGTAGCCACAGTTATTTGGAATCCTCCAGGGAAATATGTCATGCCGAAGGTCAGAAGCCATAAGAAAGGATTTGCATGGTCAGAAGTTTGAGTGCTGGAGTGGAAAGGTGAGAGAGGCTCTTGGAGATGATTGTGTGGGTTGTCTAAAGGGAAACAGGAGGCTGAGATCCATGTGGGTGCCCTTGCCAAGCTACAGGACCTCAAGATGCCACGTGTCCCATGTGTGGTCCTGATTTTTCTAATACTAGCAAAGTTCTGTCTAGTCCAACAATATCCTTGTGCTCAGTTAGATGGTTGATACAGTACAACGTTCTCTGGTACAAGCTATTCATTAGTTAGCAACATCTGAAGGGTCTGAAATGTAGCTATAAATATACATACACTAAGTGCATATACATGTTGTTTAAAGTTCTAACTTACCTACTCGATGTTGTTTCAAATGTTACTCGATAAACATGTGTAAGCCATTGTTTTTATGTTGTTACAGATTCCAAATCATACTCAATTTGTTAGATTACAGAATACAAGTAGAATGCAATGTCTTAAATTACCAATGATTAAATTGCAGAAAATATTTAGTGAAATAATTATGCCAAAGATGTATTACACAGAGAACAGATAGAACATAGAAGGAATTGTTTGTGTTTTATGATGTCTTCTGGCTTTCAGTCCACAAACAGCTGGGACCTGATGGATGCAGTCTTAGTGTTGTAGGTCTGCTCCTGAGTCTGCCAAAGACCTTCAGCTCTTTCTTGTCCATTAAGATTTTCCCCTGGCAGTAGGATCAAGATCTATCCCTGGTGCACGAGCTGGCTTGCTGGAGCCCACTACCATGGTGGAACACTTGACACAGCCTTGATACAGGGGAGGGGCTTGAACCTGCCTCAACTGAATGTACCAGTCTTTGCTGACTCCACATTGGAGGCCTTACCTTTTTGGAGGAGCGAATGAGGGTGGATTGGGCGGGGGGGAGAGGCTGAGGGGGTGAGGGAGGAAGGAAGAGAGAGGGTATCTATGGTTCGTATGTAAAATGAATAAAAAATTTCTTAATAAAGAAAAAAAAAGATTTCCAGAATGGAATGTCCACCCACATGTCCATGTGCCTCCATACTGATTTCTATTAGATTCATTATCACCATGCACCACACCTTTGCTGGGATGAAGGACAACACTTTTATATCTCATAAAGTTCTCTAGATTGAAGCAAAGAGGTAAGTCACAAATATTTAATTATGAAAAAAAATGGTCAGATTGACCAATTGAGTTTATTCTCTCTTCCAACCAAAACTCTTGTAAAAGAAGAGGCAAAGAACACACAAGACTTAAACATGAAGGAAAAAAAAGATTAAAGAAGAAAGGAAAAGTAGCAAAATATTTCAAAGTAGTCTTGGAAGATGGGAAGCAGATGGAGAGCAAAGTAAAATTTGCAAACCTCTAAAATGAGAAGAACAAACGCAGATTTTGGAATTCCATTTGACCAAATGAAGAGCATATAATTCGCAGTCTGAGAACAAAGAATTTCTAAAATAAGTATTTCCTAAATACTTCTAATTTAAAAATAAAAAGAAATAGCTGCAATTCTACATCCTACAATGTTTTGTCATTAAAATCATACATTTTCATCTTTAGTCTCCAACAAAATACGAAACGGCAGGGTCAAACGCTCTCAAATTTACAACTGAGGAACTTTAAATAAATGTAGTTAATATTAAAAGAATGGTGAATTCTAATTTTAAAAGGAAGTGTAATAAGCATTTAATTAATGTGTTCAGTAAACTTGAACTTGTTTTATTGAATAAATGCAGCCATGCATATCGTTAGTTACAATGCACTTTCCAAACTAGAGCACAAGGAAAGAAATAAAATAAAATAAAAATTAGACTCAAAAGCTCCCTAGAACTTCAATTCTATTTTGGTAAAAAAGAGAGTTCCTAGTTTAGCACGTTCTACACTGACATGATGTAGGACTGATTTGTATTGTGGATAAACTCACCAAGCTTCAAATCAGTGGTAATCCTGTTTTTTCATGCTGGTGTAATAATGTAGAAACAGTCCATTAACCTAAGAATAAAGAATGATAAAAAACAAGATGCAAAAAGATTAGTGTGAAAATACGTATTTCACAAGGATTTATGTAATTACTCAGCCATTGTTTTTATCCAATAACTTCTGTTTCATGGGTCCTCACAGTCTCCATTTGTTCATCTCTAGAATTTTGTTAATTTCATAGATTAATATAAAATACATAAAATGCACTTAATCTGTGTTTCCCTCGACTTTCATTTAATCATCTTATGATTATTTCAATTATGTCTTACTTTGCTTATCTTTTTTCTGTACTCTGCTGGTAAAATTAATGTATATTTTTTAACATGTCTTTAAGCATAGTATATTTCTTCTGATAATTAAAAAAAAAGTACGTCTCATCCACAGACTAATCATAAATATATTGGTAATAGTATGAGTGGTGTACATACTATGGCATGAATAGATTCACATACCCTCCTGCCTTTAAGTCTTAGAGTAAAATCAAAATTAATAAACTTAAAAATTGATCCCTTTTTACATATTTAAATTTTGGTAGTGCTGACAGGTAACCAAGAAAGTCTTTCTGCTCATATGCAAACAAATAAACAAACAAAAAACCCACCCCATTCTCTTTTATTTTAGTAGGTTGAATATAGTTTTGAAAAACCTGGACCACTTTACATTTTGACCAGCTCTTTTTTGCAATGGTACAAAAAAAAATTCCTGCCCTTTAAGAAAAATTAATTTTATGAAGTTGTCCTTAGGTGCAGCATGAGGAATAAAGACATTCCATACAACAAGAATTAACAGTCCTTCAGACAGACCTTACAACAAACTGGCACGGGAATGAACAGAGCTAATAACCTGATAGAAATAGTAACTTAGTGATCAATTTTTTTTAACTCTAAATTTTCTGATTATTGTATCTATCATTCCACATCCAGATAAAGACCACATAAAAAGATCATACTCTAAAACTGCAATAGATCTTGTTTCCCTATTTAATTTTTATAGAAAGCCATTCTTAATGTTAGTTACAGAAACCTAAGCCAAGAAAGAAATATGTGTTTACATTTTTGTTTATTTCTTGGAAAAAACACCTTACATGCACTCCTACAGCCCTGCTACTGAAGTCAGTATCCACTAGGCATTTTTATCAAGACAACATTCTTCTTTACCAACTTTTTAAAATGAATCTCATACTTACAAATATTTCCCGTGGAGCAGTCTACCAAGCTACATTTTATTTTCTCCTTGTTATGATCCTTTTGAAATCAGGTTCTGAAATTGCACGAGGCACCAAGTGCTTTATTTTTCCTGGCATAAAAAGACTCTACTGTCTGTATAATTACCTTCTATGGCACTCCAGTCTCTGTGCTATGAAATTCTAGTTTTACAGACACATATCTATGCAAAGAGGGGTTTTTTTGAATATGGAAATAGTGCTGTGGGATGGCAATGCCTTGCTGATAAAAGAGGTTTTATCTAAACTTATCAGAACATCTGATATGTCCAGATGGCTGGAAGCACAGCCCCTTAGAATTTTCAACTGTTGTAGTCAAAACTTCTCTTCTGAAAAATTGTTTTTTCAAGCTTTTGACAATGTGCAGCCTACAGGAAAATCCCTTTTGGGGGCGGGGAGAAGAGACCTGAGTACAAATAAGCAGACTACCATTGTAAACACCTAGTATCAAGTGATGGGAACTATTGACAGCAACTGATCACAATAGTCAACTGACCAAGGACCGGTAACAAGCTAAGGGCTCTCTTTTCTGGCTAACCCTTGGAAAACTTACTGCTGGTCCTTTAAAGCTATATTTTGACTATCAATCATTTTTCAGTCTGTTAAAATGACTACCAAACTTTGGACTGAACACAGTGCTTCAGATGAGCTGTTCTACTGAATGCAGACTATGGGGAGATGTTTAGTGCCTTTGTCTTCTGTCTAATATGGAGTGTGTGTGTGTGTGTGTGTGTGTGTGTGTGTGTGTGTGTGTGTGTAAATGAATAAATGAACTCAACACTGTCTCATAGAAGTTCTGGAATAAAATAGTGAGGAGGAGCAGAATATCATTGAGTGAACACTTCTTAAAATATTTAGGAACCTGCTTCCCACCACCCCCCTGTCTAGAGCTCCTTCCCACTATTTCCATTATCTCTTTCTGCTTTTCCAAGCTCTGTGGTTATTCCAAGTTTTATACTTGAATCTAAAGATTTGGAGTGAGGTCCACAAATAATAGGAGAGGGCACGAAGTGTTTGTCTTTCTGGATTTGGGTTACCCCACACAGCATATTTCCCAGTTTTGTCCATTTACCTGCAAATCTCATTTCATTTTTCTTTACAGCTGAACAAGATTGTATTGTATATATATTCACATTTTATTATCCATCAATTCAAGGGCATTTATATTATTTCCATTTCATAGCTATTGTTAACAGAGTGACTACTTAAGAACTACAGGCAATCTATGGTTGACCAGAGAGGAAGAATCATTTTTCTCTGAGGACATATTCCGTATTAGGCTTTCTAATCCCAAGTGATTAGCCCTTTAATTTTCTTTCAGTCAAGTCAAAAGTAATACAAATTAAGATATGCACAATAGATATTGTTTAATATTTTTCTGTAGGCTATTTGATAATTTTATAGAGTTAGGATCTAAAATGAATTTTACAAGAACAGAATAATGACCTTTGAGAAACTAAAAATACCAAGCTTTGCCATTTTTAACAACTCCCTGAAAATGAGATTTGTGACTACTTCATTATCAGTGGGCTATTGGGAAATAAACCTGTTTCAATGCACTGTGTGATAGTGTATAGGTTTTGCCTGGCACCCACAGAAAACACAGTTATTAGCTGATATCAGGGCATCTCTAAAGGTATTCCAGTTTCTTTTGTGCTTGGACAGTTGAGAAGAGACACACAGTTGCCATAGAAGCCGACAGTTTTTTTTAAAGGGATAGTACACTTCCAGGCTTGAGCAGAATAGGCTCAGGCACATAACAAGCTGAGCCGTTCAGCCGACCTATGTCACTTTTATGTCACACAGCTCGGGCTTTTTGCTCATTTGCATAGTGTGGGCTGTTCCATGAATGCTGTTCCATGTAGGTCTACATACAACTTTATGCCTTGCATATCTTATTAGTATCTTACATCTTTCCCCAGGGCTGAGTGTTTTAGTATTATATGGAGCCATGGGTCCCTCGAGACGCTTAAGAGTGCTCTGTGACTGTGTCGATAGCTGAATTTATTCAACCTTGGCAGAGGGGCTTTCCAGCCTTCCTCTCTGCCAACTTGTTTTTTAATATGCTAATTTCGTCAGGCTCTGTGGAAGGCCTTCTGACCTCACTCTTGGTCCCATTCTCCTGCCTTAGGACTTTTCAACTTAACTCTGTACGCAGGATAAGCTCTTAGATACTAGGGAAGTCTTAGTGAAATATACCCAGCAGGCAGCTGCTGCTGACGTTTGGTGGAGATTAGCATCTGCTACTTTCCTGAACTCTGGGCCCTTGCCTTTTAGCCTTCTGTTAGTCTTGGCTCTCTGTGCTGAATTTCTTCCCAGTGTCTTATCTCTCAGAACAACTATGGCTTGTCTATGTACACACATTGCCTAGATGTCCAGGATGTGGCCCAACCAATTGCTGTCCAAAGTCTCGACCCAAGAGAGCAGAGGCTAGTGCCTAGTCTTTCCCCCTCTGGCTTATTGATGAATAGACACAGTGTAACTTACTTTGGCTTCTGGCATGTAGAAACACCAAGCATAGTGGCAACAATAGTTAGATTGTTGGATCTATCCAACTCTGCTAACTGTACAAAATTCATATAAACAGCCATGCAAGCTAGCAGCCAGTTTTATCTGTATTGACTCCCATGACCTGTATTAAAGGTGCCCTTAATTAGAACCATTATCACACCGTTCCATGGAGATCAGTCACTAACTCCAGTCATTCTTAATTTCTCCTGAAGCTGCTATAAATCTGTTCTTTTGACTCTCCCCTAGAGTTAGCACAGCCTTTGGATCTGCAGCCCACAGTTAGATCAGAGACCTTTCTAACCAGATTCCAACTGATTAGTTAGGATTTCACTGTTGCCTCAGTGTGGTAAAGGCAAGCACTTCCTTTGGGAGGTAGAGTACTCTGGGGACTGGCCTGAGGATGCCCCTCTGAGGATGGCTTGCACTGGCTCTGCTAGGTGGCACAGGCTTACCATGGCAGGATTGCATTGCTACTTCTTATTTTCACTTTTGCCATAGAGTTCCTGGACTATGTAGGAAGGAGGGTAGGTCTGAACGATAAATTCAGAAGATCACAGAGCTACTTCTTTGTTATCAATTTTGGCAGGTTTCTTTTCTTTTTCTTCCTTGTGTTTGTTTCTTTCACTAAATGCTTAGCAGTTTAAGGACTTTTTAAAAAAATTAAAAAAGAAAAGAAATTCTCTCCCTCCCTCTCTGTCTCTGTTGCTTTCTGTGTCTTGGTGATATGGGCATGTGAGTGCGGGTGCCCATGGAGACCAGAAGAAGACATCAGATCCCCTGGAGCTTTAATTTCAGTGGTTGTGGGTCACCAGATGTGAGTTCTGGGAACTGAACTCAGGTTCTCTGGTGGAGCAATGTGATCCTAAACCCTGAGCTATCTTTCCAGCCTAGTTTAAGAATGTTAAGGTCAGCTTACATCAGACATAGATCACATCTTATAGCTTGAAAGGAATTCTTATTAATGTATTTTGAAATGATATCTTACTATGCTGGCTTTGAATACCCTGGCTCAGCCTCTAAAGTAGAGGGACCATAGGCTTATGGCACTGTGCCTATGTGTGTGTCACAAGAATGTGTATGTGTGTGCATGTGGAGGTCGGAGGTTGACCCCGTTTGTTTTCTTTCATTACTCTTCATCTTGCACACTAGGCAGAGTATCTCACTTGAACCTAGAACTCACTGATTCAGCTCCTTTAGGCAGCCAGCTTGCTCTGGGGATCCTCTGTCTTTGCCTCTTGCATGCTAGGATTACAGGTAGGTTGCCATGCCCCCAGGCATTTACACGAGGACCCAAACTCAGGTCCTCAAACTTGCTGAGCAAGTGTTTTATCTACTAAGTCATCATCTCACAGCCCCTACTTCTTCCCCCTAGCATTTATAGGTGCTCAGGTGTTCAGTAGACAGATTTTTATTTTATTATTTTTTATTTATTTATTTTTTCAGAGACAGGTTTTCTCTATGTAGTTTTGTGCCTTTCCTGGAACTCACATTGTAGACCAGGCTGGCCTCGAACTCCCAGAGATCCTCCTGCCTCTGCCTCCCAAGTGCTGGGATTAAAGGCGCGTACCACTACCACTGCCCAGCTAGACAGATGTTTAAAGATATGTCATGCCTTATTCTAAATTTCACTTTATGTGAACTAATGTTAAATATTCACTTTTAACCAAATGCAGTGACGTATGAAGGAGAGTAGAACTTCAGCGCTTCTATATTGTCACAGATGGAAAGTCGCATTCTTCGCTTCTTCAGCTGAGGAATGTCTTGAGTATATAGGGCTCAAGGCTGTGTAGTTACAAAGCTTAGGCCTGCCTGCTTTGAAATTACCTAATCATTTCACTGTCATTATTCTGTACATATGCCTAGTTCTTTTTCATTGGCAATGTAGAACAAAGTAGCACAAACTTGTGCTACATTTCCTGTTTTTTTTTTCTATAACAGAGATTAAAATGCCTTTTTTTTGTGGGGGGGGATGGGGAGGTAGGTTACTATTTAAAATCCCACTGACTCAAACTTGAAACAAATCTATCCCCAGTGCAGCAATAAGTGGTGATAGTACCCCACCCATTCTGGGAAATCCCAAATGGTGTCCAGTCACTCAGGGAGATAGACAGCAAATGTAATTCTTTGGGGAATGCCATTGGAGAAGGAATCTCCCACTTCTGATGCATGCCTCCCTTGCACATGTGGAACTGATATTGAGACTGGTATAGTCAATTCCCAATGAACATCTGAATAACAATGAAGTGAAGTTCTCTCTCCCAGGATTCATCTGAGATAAACAATGAAAGCACCCTTCATGTTCTTTGGAACTCATTCTACTTACATAAAAATTTGGGGTGAGATCTGAGAATGATTATGTTTGTCTCTATCTCCTCCCCTCCTAAAGGACAGTCCTGCTTTTCTGCTCTAATCTTTCATGTCTTGTAATTAGTGTGGTCTTTATGATCCACATTTGGAAATACTAAACTTTGTAAGTATAATTTACACAAATACATATTTCCATAAAGCATGCAAATTCTAACAACTGAGTCCTTTCGACTATCAAATAAGGAAACACAATGAAACACAAAGCCAGTGTTTGTCCTTAGGATCTGAAA